TCTTCTCGAGGTAAGTGATCAAACTGGATATCTTCAAATTGTTTCGTCAACTCTAGAATATACTTATGATACGGAATGAGTTTTGAATCTTTCATCTCCCATTCTCCTCTCAACTGATATATAACTAAAGCTGAGTCTCCAAACACTTTTAGTACTTTTATTTTTCTATCCATAGCGGCTTGTAAGCCCATGACACATGCCTCATATTCAACGATGTTATTTGTGCAATTAAAATTTAACCTCGTTGTTACATGACAGTATTGTTCTTCTAGAGAAATCAGAATTGCCCCAATTCCATGCCCCAAGGCATTAGCAGCTCTATCAAAATACATTCTCCAACATTTTTCTTCATGCTCCCTTTTCTCCGGTTAAGCAATAGTCATCAAGTCTTCATCAGAGAATTTTAGCTCCATTGGCTCATACTCTTCAGGAGCACGATCTGTAAGAAATTTGTTATAGTGCCCCTTTTTATTGCTTTTTGGATCACGTATATAATATCATATTCTGAGAGTATTACTTGCCATCTAACGATTCTCTCAGATAAAAAAGGTTTCTCGAAGATATACTTAATTGGATCCAGTTTCGCTATGAGCCATGTAGTATGATAGAGTACATACTGTCTGAGTCTTTTGGCAGTCCACGCTAATACACAACACATTTTCTCCAATGAAAAATACTTGGATTCATATTCCATGAACTTTTTACTCAGATAGTAAATAGCTCTCTCCTTTTGGCTGACCTCATCTTGCTGCTCCAACACACATCCCATTGAATTTTCACATACGGTTAAGTATAAGATTAAAGGTTTCCCTGGAACAGGTGGCACTAATATTGGAGGGTTCGATAAATATTGCTTAATTTTATCAAACGCCTCTTGACATTCTTCATTTCATTTTCCAGGATTATCTTTACGAAGAAGCTTAAATATGGGATCACATTTGTAAGTAAACTGAGAGATAAATCGAGAAATGTAGTTTAATCTCCCCAGAAAACCTCGAACTTCTTTTGGTGTGTTGAAAGGTGACAGATTTTGAATAGCCCGTATCTTATCGGGATCGACTTCAATTCCTCTTTCACTGATCACAAAGCCTAACAACTTCCTTGACTTTACCCCAAAAGTGCACTTGGCTGGGTTTAATTTGAGCTAAAATTTTTCATCCTTTCAAATAACTTTTTGAGGCTAGTGACATGATCTTCATCCTTACAAGACTTTGCAATCATATCATCTATATACACCTCGATCTCTTTGTGCATCATGTCATAGAAGAGTGTTACCATGGCCCTTTAATATATTGCCCTAGCATTCTTTAACCTAAAAGGTATGACTTTATAGCATAAGGTTCCTCACATGGTCACAAAAGTAGTCTTTTCCATATCATCTGCAACTATTTTTATTTAGTTATACCCTGAGAAACCATCCATAAAGGAGAAAATTGAATGCTTAGCTGTGTTATCTACCAATGTGTCAATATGAGGTAAAGGAAAATTATCTTTTGGGCTAGCTTTATTCAAGTCCTGATAGTCTACACATATTCGTACTTTTCCATCTTTCTTAGGAACTGGGACTATATTGGCTACCCATTCTGGATACTTAGCCACTTACAGAAAACCTGCATCAAATTGTTTCTTCACCTCTTTTTTAATTTTTAGTAGCATTTCGGGCTTCATCCGTCTTAGTTTCTGCTGAACTGGCTTACATTCTGGCTTTAGAGGTAATCTGTGCTCCACTATCTCTGTGCTTAACCCTGGCATATCCTGGTAAGACCAAACAAATATATCTACAAATTCTCGAAGAAGGTTTGCCAATCGTTGCCTATCTCCTAATGAAAGTGAAGTGTCCATTCTGACCTCTTTCTTATTCTCTTCATCTCTCAGATTCATTAAGTCCACTACCTCCTGATGAGGCTCAATTGGCTTATTTTCTTGTTCAATCATCCTCATTAGATCTGGAGGCATCTTCAAAATTTTCTTCATTGTCAAGTTCATCAGTGTTAATTGAATTCTCAAAGCTAACCTCTTGATTGTTATCATGATTATCTTCATGTTCATTTAAAGACCTGCAATTGAATGAAATGAGATATGTGGCAAAATGTGCTTGGAAAGATGAAAATAATGAAGACACAAGAAGAAATGAATGGAAATGCATCCTTCCTAATTTTTATTAAAAATAATAAATGATGAATGGCCCAAACAAAAAGATCACCCCAATGCCTTGGGCAATAGTTATTGAGATAAACCATACTTAAAGCCTATGAGAGCACACCAGAGAGCCTATACATACATGTTAGACATCACTTGAGTCCAAAAGCTTAACCTATTAGGTTTTTGGGTCTTTCATGCATATATAGGACATCTCATTCAAATTTTCTAATGATGTGAGATTTTTATTCACATGTGAATCATATCTCAATAATTTTACCATCTTCAACATACATCTAACTTTTTTCACAATAGTGCGATTCATCTTTTCAGCTACACCATTATGTTGTGGTGTTCTAAGTTCAGTCCTCTCATGCCTGATTCTATACTTTAAATAGTACTCTTCAAAGTATTTGGATATGTATTTTCTACCATTATCAGTTTGAATACACTTCAAGAATAACCCTATCATCATTTCCACTATGACATGAAATTTTTAAAAATATTGTAATACCTAACTTTTATTTTTCAACATATACACTCAAGTCTTACGTAAAGCATCATTAATAAAAGTAACAAAATATCTGCGACCACTTAATGACTCAACCTAAATTGGACCATATACATTAGAATAAATTAATTCCAATCTATTTTTTCTTTAAGAACTCTTACGAAAAGAAATTCTACGATACTTACCAAATAAATAATAATCACATGAATCGAGAGACATACCTTTGGTCAAGAGAATGAGAGATTACCTTACTAAAACCTATAACCCCTTCTTATTCATGTGTGCCAGCCTCTTATGCCATAAGTTCACTAAAGCATTATCCTCAACAGCATTTATCTGGTTGATGTTCAATTGTATCTATGTCTTATACATTGTGTAGCATTATTTTTTCCTTACAACTATAATATATCCTTTGAGAAGTTTTCACTGTCTATTTTTTATTGATTTTCATATGTTTTTTTTTATTAAAGACATTAATAGCAAGCAAGTTTATTCTCATATCGAAATATATCTGACATCCCTCAAAGTCAACATGCAACTTGTACTGGTTTGTACAATAATATCACAAATCCCAATAATTTGTGATACACTCATGTTTCCCATTTTGGTGTAACTAAAGTCTCATACTTTATAAATTGTAAATAATTCTATCTTAAGAACACAATGATATGTTACTTTTGTGTTAACTATCCACTCAATACCAGGATCGCCAATATGATTACAATCACGATGTGTATAAATCAAAATAACTAAATCATTATTTGAATTTATTACTGTAATATTATCATCATCTAAACTTTTACCTTTCTTATTTTTTTGCCCTTGCTTCAAGATTTTACAATGTCGTTTTATATTACCTATTTTACCACAATGGAAACACCTTACTTTATCTCTGAACTTGGATCTATATTTAGACTTACTACGACCTTTTAAGTTCTGACCTTTATTGATGTTTTTACCCTTGTTCGCTATGACCAAAGCTTGATTCTGAGGATCTACATTTTTTCATCTTGCTTTTTTATTAAGCATATTGTTCTTTACCATCTTTAATGTCACTTTGTAATCAAAAACTAAATTAAAAGCAATCACAAATAAAGTATTCTAGCTGTTTGACAATGAATATAAAAGAAACAATGCCTTCATTTCATTATCCATCTTAAGCTTCATAGTAGTCATTCAATTAAATATATCTGAAAAATTACTCAAGTACTCTATAATCAATCGTATATCCCTGTACTATAAAGTTACAAGCTTTTTAAAAAGCATAATTTTATTCATACATATTTTTTTCTAATACAATGCTGTCAATTTTTTTCAAACAATGTGAGTATCTGTCTCTTGTTCTACATAATAGAATATGTTGATATCAACCCATTTTTTTATTATAGCCAGTGTCTTTTTGCCTAACTTCTTTTGGTTTTCATCTTTTATATCTACTGGTTTAGCCGAATAACCCAATAACGGCTCATACAAATCTTTGTAGTATAAATGATCTTTCATCATAGGCTTTCAAATTGAATAATTTGTGCTGTCAATTTTATCATGAAACTTGTATCATCTTTTATGATCTCAAACAAAATTTACTTATGTATTGGGCTGTTTCTGTATCGTTGTCTTAAAATAACCCTGACTTTGATACTAATTGTTGGTCTGAAACAATAAATATAACAATGTAGAAGCAATATATCGTAATAAACTCACAGTAATAAACAATAATCAACAATCAATAACGTAAAAAAGATAAAGCACACTAAGATTTACGTGAAAAATCTTTTAGTGTAGAAAAAAAATCACGAACCACCAGAAAAATCTTCACTATCAAATAATGGATACACAAAATTTTTTTCTAACTAAAACTAGAGCTAATCAACAACTAGAGATACAATTGAAGAAATCTCATCAAATAGGTGATTCAACAAATATATTCTGAATTTATTCCTAGAGAGCTTCAAACCCAATTTTTATCTTTTAAAATGTAAAATTCTGAATCATAAACCTATTGATAAATTTTCAGTTCAATCAGATCACGAATCAATTTTCATTCAATCAACTCTCAATTTTCCTTTTTCTTTCAATTTTTCTAACTATTTTTCTTTTTTTTCTTGATTTGCGACACTACCTTAAAATAGCTTCATCTCTTTTTTTTAATTAAATAACTAAAACTTTGTGTGAAAAAAAAATTAAAGCCAATGACTTTTGATTGATCCAAAACTAATTACATAGAGCTAGATTTTATTTTTTTAATATTATGAAGTTTATCCTTATTTTATTTATATTATTTCATTTTAATATTTATTATTAATTTTTAAAAATTAAAAGTTGAAAAGAAAACTTTAAAGGGGAGACTGGGTTAGGCTCTGAAAACCGTGGAAGGGAGGAGCGCTGTCAACTTGTCTGAAGATGTGGGTCCTATCCTGCGCTACACCTGCTTATCCTACGCACTCTCTCAAATCTCCAATACCCAAATGTACAGCAATTCGTTCAAGCTTTACTTATGAACACCCTTTTGTCCCAGAGGTATATATATTCTCAGAAACTCTTTTTTTTTTTTTTTTGGATTGTTTATTTTAGTTTCTGAAATTTAAAAAAAAAAAAAGAACGAAAAACAGCTAAAATAGACAGTTCAAGACCACCATTTTTCATGCTAGGAACCATTTATATGTATAAATATAAGAACCCATTATTGTAAACTTGTAAACAGTTAAAGTTCTTTGTTTGATGAGAAAGGAAGAAACTTTGGTGAGGTTGTTTAATGGGCCTAGTTAGTGATTTTTGGGTTTTTTGCTAAGGAATTTGAGGGAACTTTATTTCCTGGTTGAAACGAAGACTTAATTTAAGAAATAGTGTAAAGAGCATTCAAGGTTGATTTTTTTTTTTTTTCTTCGAATTCTGAGTCTGGCTTATGAGATAACATGGGAATGTGGAGAATTCAACTGCTTTCAGTCTGCAATGAAACAGAGATTGTACCTTGTTGGTTGCTGATAGGATACACATTCAAGTGTTTATAGCGATTGTAAGTGTTAGCACAAGTTCCTAGTTTTCATTGCTGTAAGACTATGTAGCGGAGTATTTATATCAAACTTTAAAAACTTGATAGGAAATATCAACAATTGACATTAATAAATTCCGTTTCATTTGCTATAAGCACTGAAGTTTTCATGGGGTTTGAAGCATTAGCATTAGTTCAAGCTGCTTTAGCACTGTAGAATTGGTAGCGTTAACACCTAGAGTTGTTTTATTATATCCACTACAGGTTGCAAAAGCTGCAGAGTCTTTGTACTTGGAATTCAGAGCCGTGGATAATTTGGTAGCTTGCAATTCCTCACGTGTTCTCAAAGCTTTTCAAAATAGTAGGGTTGGATCTCATGTAAGTTACTCATTTTATCCAAAGTGGCGGTCACCTCTGGCTTTCATGTTTCTAATGCGTGTTCCCTGCAGTTGAGAAACGGCATCTTGCTTTAATATGTGATTGGACATATCTTTGAGGCATTTTATGTCATTGTTTATGTACATGTGTAACACATACTTGTGTAGATTCATGTATGCATATGCATTTCATGTTATAACATGCAGATTTATCTCTACAAGAAATTGCCAATTGTTTAATCTGTTAATAATGATGGTGTATGTGGTGCTTTTATTAATATGCTTATTTTGTAGCCAGCACTTTGCTGGGTGCACTGGCTACGGTCATGATGAAGCCGGGGGACGAGAAGCACTTGATAAAGCATTTGCAGAAATTGTTGGAGCTGAGTCAGCAATAGTGCGTTCCCAGGTTTGCTATATGTTGCCTTTGTATCTTTGGATATTATGAGTTCTGAACAGTTAGCACTAATTCTTGTTAATCTCTTGGTCCTTTTTTCCACCAGTTCTTCTCAGGTACTCATGCTATCACTTGTGCACTATTTGCTTTTCTAAGGCCTGGGGATGAGGTAAGCTAACTTGGCTGATTGTTTCCACACTATCTTTGCTGTTATATGACGTTCAGTAGCTTTTTTTCCACTAGAATATGGTCTGGATTAATTCGGTTCTCAGCTTTTGGCAGTGGCTGGTGCTCCTTATGATACCTTAGAGGAAGTTATTGGAAAGAGGGATTCCAATGGACTGGGCTCCCTGAAAGATTTTGGAGTGATGTATCGTGAACTTCCTGTATGTTGCTAATAACCACACAGAGCAAGTTTCAGCTTCTGGTTGTGAATGTTTTCTCAGATTGATGTTCTTACAGCTTGCTGAAGATGGTGGACTTGACTGGGTTGCACTCACAGGTGCTTTGAGACCTCATACAAAATGTGCACTCATACAGAGGTCATGTGGTTATTCATGGCGTAGGAGTTTAAGTGTGAATGAGATAGGGAGGGCAATAAAGATTATCAAGGTAATCTGTTTATATTCGGTAAAAATTATGGAAACTCTATTGAATTGACCTCATTGCTGCAATAAAATCTATGAGGGTCTAGGCTTGAATGTGTTGTCCTCTGCCTTTATTCACTATTCTTCTGTCTGAAAGGGGAAACGAGGAAGAAAGATAGATAGAAAAAAGAGTTATGGGATATTGTCTTGAAATTTCATTATTACAACCATTTCTGTTTCTCTTATTAGTTTGGAACTCATAATACTTTTATCCAGTTAATGTTCCCTCTTAATTCTCATTTGTATGAACAGATGCAGAATCCTAACTGCTTGGTCATGGTGGATAATTGCTATGGTGAATTTGTGGAAAGCATTGAACCTCCAATGGTGGTAGGTGCAGTATTTCTCATTGCTTTTTCTGAAGAAGGGTCACATGGTTTCATTAATGGTAGGGCAGGGTGCAGATTTGAGTGCAGGAAGTTTGATAAAGAATCCCGGAGGAACTGTTGCACCATGTGGTGGATACATTGCAGGGAGGAAAAAATGGGTTGATGCTGCAGCGGCTCGTCTATCAGCACCAGGCCTGGGGGTTGACTGTGGCTCAACCCCTGGTGATATTATGCGAGCCTTTTTCCAGGGTTTGTTCCTTGCACCACAAATGGTTGGTGAGGCAATCAAGGTACATTCATCATGTTCTTAGCCCTCGGGGTTTTTTTTTTTTTTTAATTTATTTCCTTTTGTCCCTACTATGTGGCAATGAAGCACATATCCTTCCTTAATTCAAGGGAACCTTTCTGGTTGCTGAAGTTATGGCATCTGAAGGGTTTAATGTGCAGCCTTTTCCTCATGTCCCCCGCCATGATACCGTACAGGTTTGCTTCCTGACTGTTCCTTGTTCAGCTAATTATCCAAAGAACTGAAATTGGAATTCATATGTGTTACACTTTTTGTATTTCTATAGCTGATAGGAATTATATGTTATAAGAGTATCTCTCTTTAAGCAAATGATATTGGTTCTGCATTCTGACTAATTCATCAATATTTTCATTTTTGCTAAGTTTTTTTCTGCAAATTGATAAAACAATATGGAAAAGTCATTCTGCTCTTGTTTTCAGGCAGTGCAGCTTGGAAGCCGTGAACTTCTCGTTGCTTTCTGTGAAGCTGTGCAAAAAAGCTCTCCTGTAGGTTCATTCACTAAACCAGTTGCTGGTACAACTCCAGGATATGCATCAGAGGTCTGGTTATGTTTTACCTTCACCTTTAACTTGTAATGCATTGGGAAATATTTTATGGATGCAATTACCTAAAGCAAATTATTAGACTATAAGGTGCAAATAGCATGCATGAATTCCTCATGACTCCAAGACCTTCAAAGTTCACTTGCATATTACATTCTTCAAAGAAACTTTAGCATCATTTCACTTCATCCCAACTCATAATAAATTGAGTTAGTTATGCAATGGCATCTGTATAGGAAGATGTGGATCACATATAGAATAGCTCGATTTCAAGATTTCTGTATAAAATTTTGTCGATGTGAGGATTATCTGTTGTCAAGCCTCTTAGTTATACTTAGCATCTGGTTGAAATTGAGATTGTCTGTGTGGGAAAAATTGGTGGTCCTAAGGTAACGCTGGGCATGAGTAGTGGTAGAACTCTTGCATAAACTAGAGTTTAAGTACCATTACCAAAGGCCATCTTAAATTTGCATTTTCTTCTTTTATATTATAAATTCCTATTTTAAGAACTTAGAGAGAAATCTTATATCTTTTATCAGGTTATTTTTGCTGATGGAACCTTCATTGATGGGAGTACAAGTGAACTGTCATGTGATGGACCATTAAGAGAACCATATGTCGTGTATTGCCAGGTATGTTTTTCAAGGATTTCAATGTCCATGCCTGGTCTGAAATATTTGTTATCACAACTAGATTAGGAAAATTATCAGATAACATGTTTGTATGCATATCCTGAATGAGAATTTTGCTTGAATTTTCTAATATAGGGTGGTACACACTGGACTCAATGGGGATTAGTTCTGGGTGATGTTCTAAAATCTCTCTGATATGAAATCTAATTTTGAGCAATTAGGAGGAGGCAGAAGTGTTTCATTGATATTCATCAAAGGGCATATACTTTTTATATCTGGCATCGGAGTTTATACATTTGCAGTGTTATTAGGAGAGTTTCTTGTCAAACTCTGCTTAAACGTAGATCAAAGCTTGATCAGTCTCTAACTTCTGAGGTATAACAACATTCGTTTCATTTTTCACCATTCTACCTTGCCATATGGAAACCTTTCTAAACATTTTTAGTAAGAACTGCTATCCTTTGAGTTGATTTCATGATAGTCTCATGAAAACACTCATCTAGCTTTTCTGATTAGGTTTATGGCTCACTATGAGCCCGAATATCTGAATGAAACGCAGGGGGAAACAGAACTTTTGGATGCCACATCAGGAGACAGGATGCTGGACCAACTTTAAACGTTCACTTCGATGTCCATGTATGTTTGGTTACTTGAAAACAGTGAATGTGAAATTAGATACTATAAATCGGGATTAAATTCAATATTTACTTGAAATGATTTAATCTCGAACAATTAGAAATATTTACTTCAAATGATCATAAATATAATTTGATTTAAAATTTAATAATTTCATTTTGAAATTATTCAAATTCAAATAATTTGAGTATTAAACTCAAAAAATCCAAATTGAAAATTAAGATAAATCGAATCTAAAATAAATAAAAATTTTCTACCTGAAATGATTCAGCTCATCTAATTACCACCACTAACAGTGATTCAAATTATACAATAGTTTGAAAAATTAGTTGGATGCTAAAGGAAAAACAACTTTCAGCAATGGACGTAATCCTTTATTTCAAATGAAATTATAATTATTGGTCGATATTAGGAAAAGAAAAATGATTGGTCGGAAAATTATGGATGGTTTCAATTACTTAAGCACAGCGCCCAGAAGCTCAAGTTATATGTGAAGACATCATCAATCTGGATATCAACAGGAAGCACACGTGGCACATTTTCAAAAGATAATGGAAATTACTAGTGAAAAATTAGCTCATAATAGTCCAAGAAAAAATGAAAAATCTAGTTGGATTAGTGCTATGTAAGTAATGAAATTCTCAGTACACAATCCAAAATTAGTACCATGTAAGCCAATGATGACAACACTTTACAGATGAAGAGTTTTGTTAAAAAACCTTTTTATGTTACTCTCTAAAAGGAACCAAAATTTATTCTTTGCAGCTAAAAGGGTTCAAGTTTGGAGCTTTTAGGAGGCAAAGATGGGATTTTTGTGAAACAAGAAGGGTGGAAGAGGAAGAGAAGAGTGGTTATTTTGAGGTTTAACCAAGGTTTCGGATTTAATCCAGAGATCTAAGTTATCCGCTAAGAATTACTAGAGAAAAGAAATGGAACAACAAACATTCTAATCGGGTAGATTGTTCTTCATTGACATCAAGACTAATGACTGAGTCAGATTTACAAGAAGTCCTCAATTCTTTCTTCGCTGAAGAAAATATTTTATTGGTTGTTGGCCAAATTGGTTTCTAATTCAGGGGCCATTGTTCCATCAAGTAACTGTAGCAGTTTTCAGTTGGGATCGAACATGCAATGTAGTTCCATAAACAGACTCCATAGTAAAACTTGTACTTTGTTTTTTTCTTTTTTTTAGGCCTATGTGGTTCTTTGTAGTAACTTGTATGTTGTACATGGTAAAATTTTCATCTTTGGCGCCATTATACATCTTTCCTCTCATACGTGCATGATTCAAATGACCGAAGACCTTGATTTCTTGCACTCATTTTTGTGACAAACACGATAGCAAAGTATATTACAGGGGCGGCTGTCATCCAGCCATAATGTTTCTGTTTCTTGGACTTTTCACCTGCTCGATTAAGACATCTTTTTTTATGTTCATGATCATGAATTGGGGTGGTCCTGTTCGATTACGTCAATCTACATGATAATTGATGAAATCATGCAGTAAAAGAACCATTAAATAGCATCCTAAACACTTCCAATCAATGCTGAAAAACTCTTTTGATCAGTCGCAATGTGTCATAAAAATGAGGCGAAAGCAGCCCTGACAATCCATATGAATCAATGACTGCATTTGGTGTTTGATTCAGTGAGCACGATACACATGCACTGCAATTGTTTTTTCTTTCGAAGATTCAATTACCGACAGTTATTCTCAGCCGGGCTTTAGTTTAATCAATGCCAGAGTCGAGAAAGAAGGAAAAGCTAGGAAAAAGATCTAAAATCAAACTTGTAGCAACAAAAGAAACAAGCTGCAGGAAAGAAAACTACTTTATTAGCAACAGAAGCTAAAAATGTTTGACTGAGGTGGGATGCCTCCCGAGAGCGTTTGCCCACCGGCAAAGAAAAACCTTAGTCCAGTTATCTGCTAAGAATTATTCTATAGAAAAGAAATGGAACAGCAAAGTTCTTAAATTCCAACAACAAACATTCTAACAGAACTTCAGGAAACTCTAATTGATTCATTTTTCCTTTGCTGCTAGTGAAATGAGAGTTGGGGCATTGCAGCACTGAAAGGATCGATGTTTAGTTCCTATAGCTCAAGGTTCTGCATTTTGCATGAAATCAACGCAAGTGCGACACTTGCAACCCAGAAAGCGGCACTTAAGGCACCCGAAACACACACAAGTAGTGCAACCTTTGCAGATCGGAGATCGAGGACAGCCTCTGCAGCTCTTCCTACTTGCTCGCTCTTCACCATCAAGGCAGGTCATTCTGAAAGAAAACGAGCCAACAAATGGAAAGCTATTAGGAATTTATCTATCTGAAAATGGATTATGGAAGTGATTTTTTTCAGGTTCATATTTTAAAGCACAACTGATGGTGAAACTTACTTGTGATATGGCCAGTCGGCACACCTCCACCTTCTTGCATTCAAAGCATCATGGTAAATTCTGCATTCCTCTTCAGTCCGGAGATGAAACCTGCGTTCTTTCTTACAAATTGAGCAACTAATGAACTCATCACGATGATAAATACGTTTAGCTTGCATGGTGCTTTGCCTGTTTGCTCCATTGGATGCATGTTTGTAATATTTCAGGAGAGCAGTTCTCCCTAGAGGAACCTTCTTATTATTCATGAGCACCCAAATGTGGTTCTTCCATTTCCTTGTTCCTTCTTTTCCATAATGCTTTTGGAAATCATAGGGAGTCAATCTCTCTGCTTATCAAGAATTACCGTCAACATGTTTAGACAAAGGTATCAAAAAGTATACTAAATTAATCCAGAAATTCTAGCTTTGTTTAATAGAATTATTAACGAAGTTAGAGCTCCGAAATTGATAATCTTGATAAAAATATGACAAACTAACAGCCAAAGACAACTTACTGAAACTACAACATGAAGCTTTTATTAACTCTTCAAGCTCTAAGGTTCTAATTAATCAGGCTAAAGTGATTAACTTGCTTTAATGGCCATATAGAATAGGATAAAAGAAAGCAAAACATTTAAGGGATTCCTAGGTTTTTTTTTTTTTTTTTACAAAGAGGTTGTAGTCTAGAAATAAGAGGAGTTGTAGGTGCATGAAACAACTGAACAAACAATTCATTTAAGAGCTATGATTTTGAGAAATTTAATTTTATTGAAAAGGTTGGAAAGTTTTACAGCAAATCCCTGTTTGTTGAAACTTTACAAGACTTTGATAGATATTGGTTTTTGTCTCAAGTTATCTACTGAAAGGTGAACCATTTAATACATGCATTGCTTAATGCTAGCACTTCTCCGATGCATTATTCAACCAATAACCAGTTTCATGTGACAAAATAAAATTATGAGGTGAAATTAAAGTCCATGGAATCAAAGAATCAAAAACAAAGTTGCATATACAAATAAAATTAGAAGAAATAATTGTATCATTCATTAATATATAAATTAGGGGAAAAGGGAAATAATGATTTACCTTCATCACAGGTAGACGTGCGTTTGCAGGATATCAAAAATTGGCCATTGGAAGAAACCTTAAGCTTTCCAATGGTATCACCATATTTCTTGCTTGTGCCGCCACACTTGACCTCAATGAAACGTGACCCTCTTTTGAAGCCATCCACGCCTGTCAACTCTTCTTCAGTGAACATCCTTGACACCCTCAACAAACAAAGCACAAAAAAAAAAAAGAAAAAAAACCTAACACCACTGCTTTCTTTGTCTCGACGAGATTGAAAAACAAAATATATAAAAACAGCCAGAAAGAACTTAGAGATTTGATCAGCTGACAAGAATTTGAAAGAAACTAAGTATTATAGTTCGGATATATTATGTAGATTTGATGTTAGAAAGCGAAGCAAAGCAAAGCAATTTTTTATTTTTAAACGTGTCCCAATTAAATTAAACCGTAAATAAAGGAAGAAATGCAATGTCTGGACAGAGTATCAAATCTGTGGTTATGTAAAAGAAACCACAACCAACTCATCAAAGACATGTCAACAAGCATGCGAGAATCAAAGCCAAAACGTGGAAAAGATGGAGATAGAGAAAGGGAGATGGGAAGTTGGCCAAAGGTAGATTGACAAATGTTTGGAGTTTCCTAAATGCACGAAGTGACGCAAAAAGGTTATCTACTGCAATTAGCATTGCATATATCATTAATTTTTGGTTTGGAGTAAAAATTATAAGATTTTATAACACAAATAGTTTTTTCCTTCTATTTATGTATAAAAGGAGAGCATAAGTTACTACTTAAATCCAAAATTTTTATCCAAATTCATTCATCTTTAACACATGAGTTAACTTCAAATACAGTTTTTATTACTTTCTCTATACCAATAATACTGTTTTAGTTTGACTTTTAATGATCATACACTTTTTAACTTTGATTTTATTTCATTTTAAATATATTATTAATTAAATATAAAAAATAATTTCTTGAAGCCTTAAATAAAAAGGTTTTCATATATGTTTTTATAAAAATTTAATTTGAAATATTTAATATGAGAATGGATAGTCATCAAATAGTTGTCACTCAAATATCACTTATGTTTTCTCTTTGCAACAATAACAACAAGAAACTCAATTTTATATCTCATAGCTTTGGATTAGTTGCATGAAAGGTAAAAAAAAATCATGTTAGATCGCAATTTTTAAACTTTTTGCATCACTTATTTTTATCAAAAATAACATTTTCATCTATTTTCTTAATTCTCATATCATTTTTCATTAATTCATATTTTTTGTAATTTATCTCTAAAAATTTTGATCTTTCATAAATTTAAAAACTTATTTCTCCTAGTCGGTGCACAAATATACTTACATTATAACTTATATTTTCTCTTTGCAAATAGAAAAAACAAAAATTAACTTAAAAAATTTTCTAAATAGAAAATAAGAAGATGTAGCATTTTATGTAAATGGTCAATTAGAAAATTTCAACCAAAGTCTTTAACAAATCAAAATCGAAATTAGATTTTAACAAATGTTAGAAATTTGCAATAAAGTAACAACGTTCATGAAAATCTTAAAACAATCTTTTTAGAAGAAATAATCTTAAAACAATCTTAATTACTTGATAACTTTAAATAATGGATGCAAATAAGATTGAAGAAAATGAGAAATTTACCTTGATTTCATCTTTGATAAGTAATATCTCGTTCCGAAGCTTCCTATAATTTGTAAAGTTTAATCCTTTTTTATATTCTATCTCTATAATAGAGTTGGTGAATCAGTATCTATAAGTAGAAAAAAAATTTTGATATCTTTTTTAATAGATTTAAAAACTAAAATCTGATCTGTCGAACTAATTTGCACTAATTTAAATAATTTACCTAAATCGATTTAAATATAATTTCTTTTACTCAATTGTTTTCAATAAAAAATTTAAAAATTAACAAAATATAAGTAGGTAAAAATATGACATCACTCAATACGTTATAAACATAATATATATTTTAATACGTGTCTATCTGTTTATTTACTAAAACAATTCAGTACAGATGATAAAGTTTATAGATGAGAGGAGACTTTACCTTTTATTATGGATTTCAGATTCTGATCATAGATTTTAACTTTAGTGAAATGCTTAAATAAGCTGCCATCGCTTATATTCTAATTTGCTCAATTTCAATGGTAATTAGTGATGATAGATGTAAGTGTTTGAAATAAAATCTATGATAAATCTCATTCAAATAAAAACAAAGGAATAGTTTAATTTTGTTACTAATGTTACCTAATAACTCTTAAAAGAGTTTATCTTTCTCATGGATAAGGAAAATAAATAATTTGTGTTTGATATGCATTGAGTTTGGGCTCTTTAGGTGTTATTTTTCACAAGAAAACTATGTAATTAATGAATTTTACATCCTAAAATAGATTAAAGTATGAAGGTTTTATATAGTTTTCTTTGAAAAATCACTTTTTTTGGGATAATTTAGGAATAAGCAACTATAATTGAATGAGCTGCAATTTCACCCTAGTAAATTGCTAATTAAAGATATTATGCATTTCAAATTGTCCCCGAAATAAAATAAACGATTTAATATATATTACTCATGCCATAAAATTTGCCCTCTCCAATATTTACAACCTCAATTGAAAAGAAATTACTTTATTAGTTCATTGTAATAATAGTATATACATACATACATATATATATATATGTTCTATTTATATTATTCCATTTTAATATTTTGATTATTATTTTTTTAAAAATTAAAACAGTTTTAGTTTGACTTTTGATGATCATACACTTTTCAACTTTGATTTTATTTTATTTTAAATATATTATTAATTAAAATATAAAAAATTTCTAAAAGCCTTGAATAAAGAGGTTTTCATAGTGGTTTTTACAAAAATTAAGTTTGACATATTTAATATAAAATGGATAATCATTAAATAGTTGTCACAAAAATATCACTTATATTTTTCCTTTGCAATAACAATAACAACAACAACAAATTAAAATTTGTATCAAATAACTCTCAATTTGCAATATGAAAAGTACAAAAAAAAATTATGTTAAGTTATAATTTTAAATTTTCTTGCACCGCTCATTTCTATTAAAAACAACATATTCGTCTACTTTCTTATGCTTTATATCATTTCTTATTAATTTACATCTTTCATAATCTATCTCTAAAAGTTCTGATTTTTTTTAAATTTAAAAGCTCATTTCTACTAATCGATACATAAATAGAGCTACGTTTCAACTTATACTTTCTCTTTGCAAATAGGAAAAATAGTAACTAACTAGAGATTCTAGATAGAAAATAAGAAGTTGTAGCATTTTATGTAAAAGGTTAATTAGAAAATTTCCACCAAAGACTTTAACAAATCAAAATTCGAACTTGATTTTAACAAATGGTAGAAATTTACAATAAAGTAATGTCGTAACGGTTTTGTGTCCGTCCGAGGAATTTGAAAACAAAATAAAAAAAATAACGGAGTCGTCACCAATCTTTTTTTGGCTAAGTGCGATTGGTCACCTACTAAAACATATCATTTTAATAAAGTTTTAAAATTAATTAAAATTTATTAAAAATATAATTTTACGATCTGCGAAACAGTCTGGATTCAATAGTCGATTACGCTGGGGAAGGATTAACACCCCCACAATGCCCGTTAAGAACGTTACCAATTAACAACGTGTTATCTTTTGATTTTGATAGAAATAGTCCAATTTTCGATGTTCGAAAAATAATTTTCTTGATTTTTTATTTATTAGAAAAAAATTTATTCTCGAGAAAAATAAATTAAAACATTTTTATTGAAATAATTCTTAAAATGTTTCAGTACATTGGTAACATTAGAAGAACTTTTTCTCACCTAAAAATTTTTTAAGCATCGCTTCTCGGAATACTTAGAATCTCATCCTTGGAGACTCGAATTTACTTGTAAAAAATGTCATGCATGCAATGCAAAATATTACCATGTTTATGCATACATTTTATTCTCCTTTGTTAGAAATTTTATTAATATTTATCTTTAATTCAAATTTTGAAGAAAAAAGAATTTAATTATATAGAAGATTTTCTATAAATTTCTAATACATTGGTAATATTTTACAAAAAATTTTCTCACCTAGAGATTTCTTAAAGCATCTCTACTCGAAATACTTTTAGAATCACATCATCGGATAAAATTTCTTTTCTTCTCATTTTTATTATTATATTTTTAATATATTAATCAATTTTTATTTATTACTTAAAAAAAATTTTACTATATTAAAATTTTTTTATAAATGCTCCAATACATTGGTAGTATTTTAAAAAAAATCTTCTCACCTAGAGATTTCGTAGGCATCACTACTCAGAATACCTTTGAATCTTACCGTCAGATAAAAATTTCTTTTTCCTACATTTTTTATTAGTTTAGTATTATTATTAAATTTATTTTTATATTATTTTGTTTTTAAAGTTTATTTTAAAAATTAACAAAATTATAAAAAAAATTTAACCACATATTTCATCATTTAATCTAATAAATATAAATATTTTAATATGCATAAATATTAATAAAAAATTAAAATTAAAAAAATTTATTTTACCTGAACGGACCGATCAACGGTCCAGTCAATGCGCGGTTCGGTTCGACAGTTCAGCTCGGTCTGGGAGCGATCTGGTTGGCTCAGTGGTTCGTACGGGTTCGATTCGGGTTCAACGATTCGGTTTCGGTTCAATCAGATCGATCAGAGACTGATAGAGAAGCAGATCGCGGATCGGGTGTGCGGACCCAGGGTCGGGTCACTGATTGACGAGCGGATCCTCAGGGTTTAAAATGACGTCGTTTTGATCTTTATTGAAACGACATCGTTTTGCTTTTCACTGTTTATATAAAAGGTTCAAATTTTTTTTTCGATCATTTTTCCTTTCCTCTCCAATAAAAATGCCTATTTTTCCCTTTTTTTTTTCAGGCTGACCTAGGGTCGGTGGCCTTCCGTCGTGACAGCCGCCGTGATCCTTACCAGTGGCGAGCTCCGACCGTCGTCGTCGGTGTCGAAAAATTTTAAAATTTATCCACAAACTCCTTTCAACCTCCTGAATATAGATCTGACATCCTTTTCACTAAAAAGAGTCTCAATTTCCCTAGATCTGCTTTCGAAGTTTCGGTGAGACTATTTTTTTGTATTCTAACTCTTTTTTTTTTAAACTGACCTTTTTTTTTCTTTGTGTAAGAAGCTCTCGGCGCTAGGTTCCTCCTTACGGGGAGGACTGTGGTTTTTTTTTTTAGTTTTTGCACTATTTTTTTTGTTTTTTTTACAGCGTCTCCTTCTCCGTCTGTGTTTTTCTTGTTGTCCGACCATGAACTCTATTTATAGAGCTCTGACATTGCCCTATGCCTAAGGGAATGGCACAGGCTAGGCATGGGAGTGCAAGCACGAGCCTCATGCCTCTTTTATTTGTTTTTGGCAACATCTGAAGTGGTAGAAGATGGGTGGTAGGGCATGGTGGTCAAAATGTGGGGTGTAGGGCCTAGGTGGCAGTGGTGCCGAGGAAGGCACCACTGCCACCCTCAATTTTTCCTTTTTTTTTTGTTC